ACAATCCCAAGTAATCCTCACCGCTATCCTTAAGGTGAACAGTGCTAACCACACTGTCACTGGTTATAAGCGAAGCAGAAATAGTAACCAGGAACACAGCAACTTCCACACGTTTACCCAGCCAGAGAAGAGCACTGGGTTTTAGTTCTGGTTTTTCATTGACTAGCTGAGAGTTCTGGGCAAGTTTCCTAACTTCTTTGCCTCTGTTTCCCTACCTACATAATGGGAGTGGACTGTAGTCCTTAACTCACAGGGTTGCCTGGAGGAAGGTGATCAGTAACGTGCCCTTCTCATCCAAGTACCCAGATTCTGGTGTGTGCACGGCAGGGCTCTTCTGGCAAGGGCTACGACGGTATCTGCTGCCCGGAAGAAACCGGGGGCTCTGGCAAGGGCTACGGCGGTATCTGCTGCCCGGAAGAAACCGGGGGCTCTGGCAGTAGGAAATGCTCTCAAGGGTGGGGTCCAGCCTAGGGTCGCTGCCCTTCTCTGAGGGGCACCCGCAGACTGCTGAGCAAGCACAGTCCGAACCTCCCCATTGGGGCTGGCTTTCAGAGCACAGCTATGCCTGGAGCAAAGCAAGAGTGGGGGCGGGGTGGGATCACTGGCTGAGCTGGGACCAAAAAACCTCAGACTCTTCACTCTTAGATGTTTATAGAAAACCGTAATCTCCGAATGAAAAGGCAGACGTTGAAACTTCCTTCAAGGTGAGTTATTTTTGGGTTTTGTTTGTTTTGGGACAGAGTCCCACTCTTGTCACCCAGGCTGGAGTGCAGTGGTGTGATCTCGGCTCACTGCAGCCTCCGCCTCCCCAGTAGCTAGGACTGCAGGCGCACACCACCACACCCAACTAATTTTTGTATTTTAGTAGAGATGAGGTTTCACCATGTTGGCCAGGCTGGCCTCCATCGAACTTCTGGCCTCAAGAAATCCACCCACCTTGGGCTCCCAAAGTGCTGGGATTATAAGTGCCCGGCCTCCTTCACAATGTTGGAGTGGAGTGCAGCTGCAAAGGCTTTGCCTTAACACCATGCTCACTGGTGTGGCAGAGATCAGACTCACATCACAAAGCCCAGCTCTGTCACACGATGTTGATGTAACTATTAGAAGAGGTGGGGAGATATTCATGCCCCTTTTCTGGGCCATAAAATGGGAACTTCTCGAGGCAGGCATAGAGATTAAATGAGAACAAGGCCTGGCCCGGCAGAGTTGCGCAATACGGATGAGTTTTCTCCTTCCCTTCCTTCTGCCAGCAAGTCTGACTGCATGCTGAGCCTGAGCTGAGCTTATCTGTGGCTTCCATCAAGGCCTTGCCCTTCCTCCCCCATGGTTTTGCCCAGGGCCACCTGTACTTGAGAGGGAAAGGCGAGGCATTTCTCCAGTAATTACAGCTTCTCACGGCTGAGCCCTTCAGGCCGTTAAAATGACAACCGATTCTTGCCGAACCTAATTCTTTGCTGAATCCTTTGCCCTGACATGAGAGAGGTGTTAGCAGGTTAAGTAGGAAGGTAATTACCATAAGGTAAGTATCGAAAAGGAAGTGAATTCTCACTGCGCAAGGAACTCAGCAGGCTCCCGAAGCCAGCCGGTCTGCCCGGAGCCTGTGCGCAGGAGACTTGCATCAGTCAGAGATCACGTACCCTCCAGGCACGGCCAGAGCCCGCAGCTGGCTGGAGTGACGACTGTTCCTTTGTGTTTGTTTGTTTTTTGAAGGATGGAGAACATCTTGGGGCCTGGTCCTCACACTCTCCCTGCATTCCTGCCACAAGGACGGCCTCTGGCCGCTCTGGGGTTTCTTCCACCATACGACAAGCCCACTGAGGTCAGAAGCCTTGCTGCCCCAACCCCCAGCCCTGACATGATGCCTGGCACATAGTAGGTGCTTGGTAAGTTATTTGCTGAATGACTAAGGAGGACTAAATCAGGGGCACTAACTATTTTTCAGTTCGCCTGGGGTTGGGGGCTGTTTCTGGGTAACAGAGAAGTCTCAGCACTGAGCTGAGGGACTGCCTAGAACTCAGAAGAAAATCCTAATTTCAGCCCTTCTCCTTTCTTTCTGCTCCTGGTCCTGCCCCAGGGAGGGCCAAACATACAGAAATATGGAGGAGTGAAAATGACACCGAATCAGGCATCCAGAGCTTTGCGTTCTAGGCTCAGCTCCACGCTCAGTGACTTCAGTTCTATGTGCCTTTGTTGCCTTATCTCCAAAAAGTGCGGTGGCTCACGCCTGTCATCCCAGCACTTTGGGAGGCCAAGGTGGGCAGATTCCTTGAGCCCGGGAGTTCGAGACCAGCCTGGGCAACATGGTGAAACCCCATCTCTACAAAAATAAAAAACTAGCCAGGCGTGCTGGCACATGCCCATAGTCCCAGCTACTCGGGAGGCCAAAGTGGGAGAATCTTTTTGAGCCCGGGAGTTCAAGGCTGCAGTGAGCTATGATCACGTCACTGCACTCCAGCCTGGGCAACAGAGTAAGACTCTGTCTCAAAAAAAAAAAAAAAAAAAAAAAAACTCTGCACGCACTTCCCACATGTTAGGCGTGGTGGATATAGGGGCACAGCACTGAGTAAAGTGGATTACAGGGGTATGGCGCTGAGTCATGTGGATATAGGCATATGGAGCTCAGTCATGTGGATATAGGGGTATGGCACTGAGTAAAGTGGATTATAGGGGTCTGGCGCTGAGTCATGTGGATATAGGGGTACGGAGCTGAGTCACACTGGGGCTCTGTCCTCAGAGTGTCTGGTCCAGTGCAAGAGGCTGATAGGAAGTTCATGGTGAGAGCCCACTGTGATACGAGCACAGTGCCATGGGAACCAAGGACAGTGCCTCTGTATCTCGCTGCTGGCCCAACAGTTACTGAAGGCTTCCAAGAAGGGCCTGATTGAGCTGAATACTGAAGCAATACGGGGTGGATTAATTCAACAGAGGAGAAAGTGTCATTCCAGGCAAAAGAAACAGCCTGTGTGAAAGCACTGCAGACATACCGCAGTGAGAGGGAGGCTGGAAAGGAGGTGCACATGGGAGGAGATGGGAAAGGCACAGGTCTAAAAGGAGAGAGGCCACAGAAGGGCCTCGTGTGGCACGCAGCAGAGGAGCTGGCACTCAGTCCTTATAGATAAGGGGAGCCCCTGAGAAGGCTTAAATGGGACATGCCTTGATCATTTTTTTTTTTTTTTTTTTTTTTTGAGACAGAGTCTCGCTCTGTCGCCCAGGCTGGGATGCAGTGGCCGGATCTCAGCTCACTGCAAGCTCCGCCTCCCAGGTTCACGCCATTCTCCTGCCTCAGCCTCCCGAGTAGCTGGGACTACAGGCGCCCGCCATCTCGCCCGGCTAGTTTTTTTTTGTATTTTTAGTAGAGACGGGGTTTCACCATGTTAGCCAGGATAGTCTCGATCTCCTGACCTCGTGATCCACCCGCCTCGGCCTCCCAAAGTGCTGGGATTACAGGCCTTGAGCCACCGTGCCCGGCCCCGGCTAGTTATTTTTTGTATTTTTTAGTTGAGATGGGGTTTCACCTTGTTAGCCAGGATGGGACTTGATCATTATTAATAATGAAAGACAGCTCGGCCAGGTGCGGTGGCTCACGCGTGTAATCCCGGCACTTTGGGAGGACGCGGTGGGCGGATCACGAGGTCAGGAGTTCAAGACCAGCCTGACCAACATAGTGAAACCCCATCTCTACTAAAAATACAAAAATTAGCTGGGTGTGGTGGCACATGCCTGTAATCCCAGCTACTTGGGAGGCTGAGGCAGAAGAATTGCTTGAACCCAGGAGGCGGAGGTTGCAGTGAGCTGAGATCTTGCCACTGCGCTCCACCCTGGGCAAAAGAGCAATACTCCATCTCAAAAAAAAAAAAAAAAAAAAGACGGCTCCCAGCAGTGTGGAGGAGGGATTGGAGGGAGGGAGTACAGTTAGGCTCCTTCGGTAATCCAGGTGAGAAATGACAGCCTAGGCCAGAGACGGAGTACTGGGGACAGGTAAGAGGGAAGGGAAAGGAGAGAACCAGGGAGGCAGAGCTCCCGGGACCTGCAGGTGGGTTAGGAGGGAAGGAGGACAGAGTGTGGATGGCTGCTCGGATTCTGACTCCGCGGGAAGCTGGTGGGCCCTTCACTTGGAGAACTAGAAGCAGCATGGGAAGGGAAGATGAAACGTTCTGGAAAGCTGCCTGGAGTAGAGGTGCAGGTTTGATGGTCTAAGTAACTGCCAGATTTGGAGTGAGAGGAGCCAATGGAGGGGTTTGTGGAAGCAAAACAGGGTTCTCAAGGCAATGAAGAAGGAATAGGCAGAGGGAGAAAGGGAAGCAGGACGAAGCCCAGCGAGGGTTTCATGGAGGACCCCACAGTCCAGTGTCCAGTGTGATGAAGCTCAGGTAAGAACTGGCTGTGACCATGGAATGTGCCAGAGCAGAATTTGTGCTGGTTGTCGGAGCACACGGGGCTGAAAAGCAAAGCTAGTAAGTACAAGCCACAGCTGTGGCGCTGAGGGAGGTTACATGAGAGAAGTGGGCCGCTGAACGCACGCCTGGGGCAAGATCCAGGAGGTGGAGAGAGGTTAAGGGTACAAGAGGGGCAGGCAAAAGGAGCCATGAGCCGGAGCCCAAGTGTAAGGAACAGCTGTGGCCATAGGGGCAGTGAGCACGGGTCTGCCAGTGGAGCGGGGGCAGCCTCCACTTTCTAGTCTGTGAATCTGGAAAGCGATTTAGTGAAATGAATGATGGAGAGAAAGGAGACAGTGACAGAGAGAGCGGCAGCTAGAGGATGCTGAGGGGGAGACTGAGTGGGAAAGGGAGCTGGGTGGAGGCTCTGATGGGGCGATGCACAGAGGGCACGCGCTGTCTGTGGTAGTGCTGGTCCCACTTCTGTCTGAAGGAGGAACACTCCTTGCCCCCATCTACCTTAACAAATAGTCAAGAGGTAACAGGTACGACATTTGCCAAGTGTAGGGCTTACAGATGACCCAGGAAATACAAACCACTGGACAAGCAGCAAGCCCAGCCCCCTTACGTTTGCAGCCCTGCCCAAACTTTAATGTCATGCTAACCAGTTACCTTGTAAGAGCTGGGAAACCACCTTTTGCTCAAAATGCAGACTTCTGCCTTTGAAAACACACCACACCTGATTTTAAGTGTTTAAAGGAGAGAAAATGTCGTTGCTTTAAATTGTTGCTTTGTTCAGAGACATCTGGATTTGCCGTATCCATACAAGCAAAAGCTTTTCCAAGTCCAGAATCAACCCATGCTAATTTGTTATTGCCTCTTACTGTGCTGGCCCAGCTGTAACCAACCCAGCAGGCTTTTGGTTGTAAATTCAAGTGGAAATGGAGTTGGTCATATTTGCGCCCACTGGTATCTGAGGGCTCTGAGGAAGATGGCCAGTAGGTCAAGGGGAATAGTGGTGAAACGCTGACCAGTACTGGGCAGGTGGCCGGCTGTCCCTCAGGCACCACAACGCTGAGCCACAGTGAGGGGCATGAGCCACATTTGCAGAATATAGCCAGAGTCCTTCCAGACCCTCCTGATTTGTGCCAGGGGGCATCCCAGGGCACACAAGTGTCAAGGGCCTACTCAGGTTCTCGGCAGAGCTCTCTGTGTGTTATCAACAGAAAAGGCTACAGCTAGAGTGGGAAGGAGCATGTGATGGCCAGAGGTGGGCAGCCTGTGTACTCCGCCAAGTTTGGGTGATCCAGGTCCCCACGATTTCTGTGTGGTGGGTTGTCCGGCATCTGGTCACTAGGGGGGCCAGTGGTTCTCACACACACGCAGCGGGGCTCCTTAGCACCTGGCTTATATAGCTTCCTGGGGACACCGATCCAGTCTCTGCTCACGCCTCCACTAAGGACAGACAGAAAGAGGATTTCTTCAGTGTGAGAACTCGCGAGTCTCTGGGAAGGGGAGGGCAGGAAGCAGTGGGCCTCTGGGAAGGGGAGGGCAGGAAGCAGTGGGCCTCTGGGAAGGGGAGGGCAGGAAGCAGTGGGCCAGGCCGTAGGAAAAGCAGAAGCCCACCAGAGTGTTTCCCAAGGCAGCAGGCACAGGCTACAGCGTTCAGCCCCTGAGCCTTCATGCTCTCCCCTGACTTCCTCCAGCTTACCCTGCAGGGCCACCACCACCTTCCCCAGGCCAAGGGCACAGTCCATGGTTCCTTTCACTGTGCTCCCCAGCTCCTGCCCTGCCCCTTCTTAGGAGGCAGCACCACGTTCCTGCACTGGTGGCAACAGCTGTGAAAGGGCTTCCCCTGCTGGCCTGTGAGTTTCTCAGAAGCAGTGTCTGGGTGTGACCGTCCTCTTCCTTCCCCCACTACAACCCAGTGCAGGCCAGGGTCTTCACCTTCTTCTCTGGGGCACTTGGGTGGGGGTGGGCAATTGGCCACTGGCCCTTGGTCACCTGGGTTGGCCTTCTCTGGGAAGCCCTTGGCATAGGATGTAGCTGCAAGCTGTCCTGTCCCCCACAGGTCCAGTCCTTGGTGGCACCAGGCTTCAGACATGGAGGATTCAGCTCTGGCCCAACATAACCTGAGCAACCTCCTATCTTGGGCAGAGGGACCTAGCCCATCTCAGGGTACCGGGTTCAGTCTCTGATGGACTCACAGGCCTTGCAAAAAAGAAACTGAGGTTCTTGGAACTGATGCCTCAGACAGTTTCCGGTGCCTCCTGTCAGAGAAACTGCCACCCAGTGAGAAAACATCCTACTTCTAGCTTACCACAAATAAGGCTGTCACCCAAATGCCTCCCTCTTCCACCCAGCCTCCATCCCATCACTGGGGATCCTTACTCCACACCTCGTCCCTGCCTTCAGTGCTTGTTCCTCTCAGTGTAATGGGAGATGCACACAGGTGAACAGAAAACAACAAACTGAGCTGAGGCACAGGGATAAGGCCCCTCAGTTCACTAGGGTGCCCTGGAAGGGTTTTGTGGGGAAGGCAGATCCTGAATTACTCAGTCATGAAAGCAAGAAGAGGTTCAGCAGACAGAAGGGAGGGCTATGGGGAGGGAAAAGGAGGCGGGTCCCAAGGGAGCAAAGTCAAGCATCTGAATGCATGCAGGCCTCCTGGAGTCTCCTCCGGGGGACCAGGGCCCTCTGAGGCCACCTGCATTCAGACCTGTGTCACAGGAAGGCCCACGCCTATCTTGGCTTCTCTCCATAAAGTGAGCAGGCCAGGTTCTCACAGTCCCCTCCTTCTTGAGATGATGACACTGGAGAAGCTGTCTCCTCAAAGCTAGTGGCCAGGAAGGAAGGAGCTTTCCTTCCTGCTACCTTTGCCCATGCTCCCCTCATTTAAGGCTGAGAACTCCGAATTTGCAGTAGTTTTTTTGTTTGTTTGTTACTGTTTTTTTGTTATGTTGCCCAGGCTGGACTCCAACTCCTGAGCTCAAGAGACCTGCTTGCCTCAGTCTCCCAAGTAGCCAGGACCACAGGTGTTCTACCACGCCCGGCTCACCTTGTTTTTAAGACAGCAGTTGAAGCCATCACTGCATGTACCCTCCCCACCTCCTCGTCCCTCTCTCCTATAGAGAGGTATGATTTGTGCTGGCAAACAGGAAACCAGAGCCAGTGGATGGCGGAACAGGCCAAAGAAAGCAAGAAATCCTGCTTGTGCCTTCTCATTCCCGGGCCGAGGTTGTGTCAGCAGGATCTTTGGAGAATTTGGGAAAAATAAAAAGATGCCCATGCCTCAAGTCCAAGTCTCAACCCATTCAGTTGAGTGGAGTGAGGTCTGACCATCCATAATTTTGGCAGTTCCCGAGAAGATCTAATACGCAGCCAAGGTTGAGAATTGTTCTCAGTATTTTGAAAAAGCAGGGGTTAACAATCAATTCCCTGAATTCCCTGAATGCCGCAGGCAGGATGGCCTAGGAGCTGGATTTGGGACAGGCCGAAAGGAGCAGAAGGGGAGCCTGCTTACCTCTTCTGGGAGCACCAGAGCCGACTGCCCCTGGCTGAGCTCCACTCCGCGTTGCACGGCGGGAACGTCTGCTTCTCTTGCAGCTCTAGTTTGTTTGCCTCCAAGCCTCTGGTGATCGTGGCTTCCACCTGGGTCAGTGCCGGGGTAGGCAGCCCATCCTCTCCGTAGAAGCGTCCTATCACCCTTCCTGTGATGACAGGAAGGCAGATATGAGTGAGAGAGAGGGTGAGAGTGAATAGCTACTTAACTGCGGAGGCAGGGGTGGGAAGGCACAAGTTCCCACGGTTTCTGACTTCAGTCCTGCCGGTGTGCGTTTACTAAGAACTTCTACTGCAGGGACTCCGGTGCCTGCATACCAACCTCTCAACATCCTAGAAAACCCCACATAACTGCATGCCTGTTCTAGCTGTAGAGTCCTTTATTACAGAAACTATCAAATCTTTCTCACTTCCAGACAATGCTTCCCTGAGGGCAGAACCGTGCGTGATTCATTTCTCGATGCTTCAGTGTACTTAGAGCACACAGTGGGTATTCAACTAATGTTTGATGAATGAATGGCTTATTGGCTAACATGTTTATTATAATAGAGAGGGGGTCTCACTCTGTTGACCAGGCTAGTCTTGAACTCCTGGGCTCAAGTAATCCTCCCACCTCAGCCTCTCAAAGTGCTGGGATTACAGGCATGAGCCACTGTGCCCAGGCAGGCTAGTATTTCTGCATCTCCATTTTCTCCAACATCAAATTATTTTGCTTTATACAGATCATTTATTGAACTCAGTGTCTGACAGTATCCTAGCACTTTATTTTACATATATGTATATATGTGTATTTACCTATGTGTATATATATATGTGTGTGTGTGTGTGTGTGTGTGTGTATATATGTATTTTTTTTTTGAGACGGAATTTCGTTCTTGTTGCCCAGGCTGGAGTGCAATGGCGCACGCTCAGCTTACCACAACCTCTGCCTCCCGGGTTCAAGCGATTCTCCTGCCTCAGCCTCCTGAGTAGCTGGGATTACAGGCATGTGCCACCATGCCCAGCTACTTTTTTGTATTTTTAGTAGAGACAGGTTTCTCCATGTTGGCCAGGCTGGTCTCGAACTCCCAACCTCAGGTGATCCACCTGCCTAGGCCTCCCAAAGTGCTGGGATTACAGGCGTGAACCACTGCTCCTGGCAACCAATATTTTTTTACTCCTCCCAACAAACCTATGAGAGAAATAATTGTTTTCTTATTTGTAGGAGAGACTAGCAAGCTAAATAACTTGGGGTGGTCTACAAAGCTAGTGAATTAATGTGGCTCTAAGCCCATGCTCTCCCCTCCATTGCTCTCTTTTGGCTGTGTCCCTCAGGGGACGTGAGTGAGTAAAAACTGGTTTTCCTTTAAAATGCCTATCCAGATGTTTCCTTATAGATGAGTCTTGCTCTATTGCTCAGGCTGGAGTGGAGTGGCTATTCACAGGCATGAACATAGCTCATTATACCTTGAACTTCTGGGCTCAAGCAATCCTCCCACCTCAGCTTCTTGAGTAGATGGGGGTGCAGGTGTGAGCCACACTGTGCCCGGCTTTAAAGTGCCTGTCAGAATTTGTAGAAGTCAGGCCAGGCGCGGTGGCTCAAGCCTGAAATCCCAGCACTTTGGGAGGCCGAGGCGGGTGGATCACGAGGTCAGGAGATCGAGACTATCCTGGCTAACATGGTGAAACCCCGTCTCTACTAAAAATACAAAAAAAAACTAGCCGGGCGTGGTGGCGGGCGCCTGTAGTCTCAGCTACTTGGGAGGCTGAGGCGGGAGAATGGCGTGAACCCAGGAGGCGGAGCTTGCAGTGAGCCGAGATCACGCCACTGCACTCCAGCCTGGGAGACACAGCGAGACTCCGTCTCAAAAAAAAAAAAAAAAAAAAAAAGAATTTGTAGAAGTCTAAGCTATGGCAGCAGCCAGCAAGTGGTCCCCCAGCCTACAGGCCAGAAGGAAAAACAGGTCAGTTCTCAGTGCAGGGTCCTAACGTAGCCCAGTCCTGAGGTACAAATGGCCTTCAGAGGCAGCACCTGCCACAAGGCGAGAGAAGCAGAAAGGAAGCACTTGAGGGAGGTGCGACCGAGGAGGGAGCAACCCCTAAGAACTAGCTTTACGTTCAATTCTAGTGGCGCATCTGTTCAGCGCATCTGAGACTCAGCTCATCTCTCAAGTCCAACGCCCTCCCTGACTTTCCCAAATCCATGTTGCCTCTAGCCTGTGACCCGGACTAGGAGCCTGGACTAGGAGCCTGACTCCTCCTCCTCTACATCCACATCATGCTCCCTTCCTTGCTGTCTGATCCATCAGAAAACCCTGTCAGTCCTACCTCCTGATTCTGTTGACTCCTTTCCATTCCCACTGCCATCACCCTCCTCCAAAGCACGGACCGTAGCACTGGCCTACCTAACTGCTCTCTGTGCCTCCGCTCATGCCCTCCTAGAGCCCTCTGTCCGTAAAACAACTAGTGGATCTTTTCCAAACATACCGTGGCACTCCGACGCCTGAGGAAAACCCTTCAATGGCTTCCTAAAGCAGACAGACAAAAATGCAAATTTCTTATCAAGGCTTCTAAGGCCCTGTAACCATTTAACTGATTTGCTTCTTCAGCCTCTTACAAGCTACGTCCCGCCTTGTTCACTGGGGGCTCCAGCACACGGGCTTCCTTTCTGTGTCTTGGCCGTGCTTCCCCACTCCCCACCTTCGGCACTGCTCTTCCCTGACCCGGGACACTCTCCTCAGGTCTCGGTGTGGCTGCCTCCCACTCACCTGCCCAGTCTCAGCTTAACGGTCCTTTTCTCCAAGAAGCCAGCCCTAAGCACCTGCTCTAAAGGAGCCAGAATTCCCGAACATGCGTCGCATCACAGTCTGGCGCGTGGTCCTATCTGGAGTTGTTCAATCTGTTTACTTGCTTATGTTACCTCTCTATACTAGTGAGGCCCAGTGCTCAGAACAGCTAGTGCCCAGTGCGGTGGCTCACGTCTGGAATCCCAGCACTTTGGGAAGCTGAGCCGGGCAGATCACTTGAGGTCAGGAGATCAAGACCAGCCTGGCCAACATGGTGAAACCCAGTCTTTACGAAAAATAACAAAAATTTGCCAGGCGTGGTGGCGCATACCTATAATCCCAGCTACCCGGGAGGCTGAGGCAGGAGAATTGCTTGAACCCAGGAGTGGGAGGTTGCAGTGAGCCAAAATCGCGCCACTGCACTCCAGTCTGGATGACAGAGCAAAACTCAATCTCAAAAAATATACAAATAAATAAATAAAACAGCTTAGCATAGAGCATTCCTTTTAAATACTTGTTAGATGAATGAAGAAAGGAATCAGGGCCCAAATCACAGGCCTGCAGTCTATGAGTTGGCCTAGCACAGAATTTCCCACTATGGGGTTTGGGGTGTCTGTGTTATATAGTGACAAGCCTGTCTTGGTTGAGTTTCTGACATGAGACCCAAAGAGAGGACAGTAGTAGCAGAGGCAACAGAGGAGGAGTTCTAGAAGCTGTGTCATGAGAATGGTGATCACCAGTGGCTGCGTCTCCAAGCCAATCCTGTATCCACAGCATAACCAAGGCCATCTTGTTTTCGCTTGAGGCCTGGCCATGTTGGCTGCCAAGATGGCTTCCTGGCTGCCCTCACTTCAGTATATACCCTTACAATAAACCTTCATCCACTGATGTATCCTCAGGGTTACTGGTAACCTGAAAGAGCCTAACATGGCCCCTATCCTACAGAATGAGCTAACAGGGGCAGGAACTGGACTCAATTCATCTCTAGTCCCCCTGAGATCTAAACCTTAACTTATGAAGAGTAGGTATTCAATAAGATCCTGACATCAACTAAAATCCTTCTGAGGCATTTCCCACCACATGCCCCACCCCATCCTCAACACATTTTACATCATTCAGACAAGAACAGTTCACCTGCCACACCAAACACATCTGGAACACTTCTAGTGTGCTCCCAAATCTTAGTATGAAGGATTTGGCCTGGCATTCTTTGCCCATTTACAGGACTCTGTTTTTTGTTTTTTTTTTGTTTTGTTTTTTTGTTTTTTGAGACAAGGTCTCACTCCGTCACCCAGGGTGGAATGCAGTGACGTGATCTCGGCTTATTGTGACCTCTGCCTTCCAGGTTCAAGTGATTCTCATGCTTCAGCCTCCAGAGTAGCTGGGATTACAGGCGTGTGCCACCACACCCTGCTAATTTTTTGTATTTTTAGTAGAGACATGGTTTTGCCATGTTGGTCAGGCTGGTCTTGAACTCCTGACCTCAACCAATCCAACCACCTCGGCCTCCCAAAGTGCTGGGATTACAGGCATGAGCTACCAGTCTGGACTCCATTCTTATTCTTTTTCTTCTTTTTTTTTTTTGAGACGGAGTCTCATTCAGCCACCTAGGCTGGAGTGCAGTGGTGCAATCTTGGCTCACTGCAACCTCCGTCTTCCGGGTTCAAGCAATTCTCCTGTCTCAGCCTCCTGAGTAGCTGGGGTTACAGGCACCCGCCACCACACCTGGCTAATTTTTGTATTTTAGTAGAGATGAGGTTTCACCATGTTAGCCAAGCTGGTCTTGAACTCCTGACCTCAGGTGATCTGCCTGCCTCGGACTCCCAAAGTGTTAGGATTACAAGCGTGAGCCACCGCTTCTGGCTCTCATTCTTTTCTATTGGGTTTTCTTTTCTTTATTAACCCAGTAATGTTTCAACCTCGGTTTGGCAACTTCATTGAGAAAGGGAAGAAGCCAGCCCTCTGAAGCGCAGGTGAGTAGAGGTCAGTGCTTTCAATGGTGGACAGGGCTGTGGTCTCAAGACTGATCTTGGGCAGACTGGGAAAATGAAGGACGGCGTGCTGCAGAGGCCCACAATGGACAGACACAAACTTTAGATATCATGAAAAAGCCTTGACTGATTGGATGTGGCGGGAGCCGAGGTGTTAATAAAAATGCCAGGGTTCTCAGAAAAGGTAACTCAAGCAGTGATGACAGAAGCAGAAATTCAGAGGCATTAAGGAAAGAATTCTTCCAAGTTAGCCCTGTTTCGATGGTAGAGTGACACTGGTGTTCCTCAGGAAGCCAGTCGTGTCCAAGTAGGACTCGTGAGAGGCGGGGGCTGCAGACAGATGGGAGAAAGGGCTACAACCATCCCACATGTCCGTACTTGTGAAGCAATCTAGTGTTTAGTGTCTTTCATTGAGGCTGGAGTGCAGTGGTGCGATCTCGGCTCACTGCAACCTCCGCCTCCTGGGTTCAAGCGATTCTCCTGCCTCAGCCTCCTGAGTAGCTGGGACTACAGGCGTGCGCCACCACGCCTGGGTAATTTTTTTAATTTTTTAGTAGAGACAGGGTTTCACCATGTTGGCCAGGCTGGTCTTGAACTCCTGACCTCAAGTGATCCGCCCGCCTCGGCCTCCCAAAGTGCTGGGATTACAGGCGTGAGCCACTGCGCCTGGCCTAGTGTTCAGAGTCTTTAACACTGCTTCAGAACACAGTTTGGTGTGTTTTCATCTGAGAAACAAGTCCCTCACGTAGCACCGGTAAGTAGCAAGTGCAGTACCCTACACAGTGGTTTGACTGGCATCACTACCACCTGGGAGACAGCTCACTCAGGAAGTTTGTCTCCTCCTAGAGGACCACATCAAAGGGGATTTGTGGAAACATAAATTTAGGCTTCAAGCCTTTCTGGCTGTGTGCTGAAGCCTGATGCATACAGCACAGTGAGACGGGGAAGCTGCCCTTTTGGAGCTGGTTGTTCAAGGATGGTGCAAGCAATCACTGGCTGTGCTGAAACTGAGCCAAAGCAAACAGCTTAGTAATCCTCTCCCAAGACTAAGAGGGGCGGAAACAGGTGCCCATCCATCTCCTTCTGGGCGTCTCATCCCTATTCTAACAACCAGAATTTGAAGTAAAACAAATCCATGGCTGTTTTTCAGATTTTAACCTAGAGCCCAGTCCCTAAAAAATCTCAGCCCCCTAAAAACATTGCAGACAATCAAATGAAACGTGTGACCTGTGGACTACTTACCAACACATACGTAATTCTTCTCATAGAATGAAAGCCAATGTTGAAGTGTCAGCATCTCAGAAGATGACAAATCAGATATATCATCCACAAGGCCTGCTTCAGAATAGTCCCCGGTCACAAATGCTCTGGATGCATCTCGGCCTGAAAGAGAGAAGTTTCCATCAGATCCAGTTGTAAATGACTGACACTGTCCCCACTCAAGAATCTATTTTCTTTTCTTTTCTTTGTGTTTTTTTTTTTTTTTTGAGACAGAGTCTCGCTCTGTTGCTCAGGCGTGCAGTGGCATGATCTCAGCCCACTGCAACCTCCACCTTCTGTGAAAGAATCACTTTCAAGTGATTCTCTTGCCTCAGCCTCCAGAGTAGCTGGGATTACAGGTGCCCACCACTATGCCCAGCTACTTTTTATATGTTTTTAGTAGAGATAGGGTTTCACCATGGTGGCCAGGCTGGTTCTGACCTCAGGTGATCCGCCCACCTCGGCCTCCCAAAGTGCTGAGACTACAGGTGTGAGCCACCGCACCCGGCAAGAATCTGTTTTCTGAGAAACGTCTCTTGACAAGCCCCACTCCTCATCCCCAGGAAATGGGGTCCCACCACCTCCTCTGTGACAGATGCTCCTACACCTTGGACACACATCTCTTTGGCATTGATCACATTCTTTCATTTACCTTCGGCGATATTTAACGCAGCTGACTGCTTCCCTTGGCCTGGTTTTCCTCCTACTTCTTCAGTTCCTCATTGTCTACCAGCCTTAGGGGTCAATTACCATCCACACCGCCACACTTGACAATCTTATCCACACCTGTGGTTTCAAAGCCCATGTACAGGCAAAGATAGCCACATCTGTATCTTCAGCTCAGATGTCTCCCAAGGCTCACACCTGTATATCCAACACCACTTAGATGTCTCACAGACATCACAAGATCAAAATGTTCACACTGGCTGGGCATGGTGGCTCATGCTCATAATCCCAGCTCCTCAAGAAGCCAAATAAGGAGGACTGCTATGACCACACCACTGCACTCCAGCCTGGGTGACAGGGTGAGACCCCATCTCTCTTAAAAAAAAAAAAAAAAAAAAAAAGTCCACATTGAACTCATGATTATCGGCACCCTCACAGCCAGGAAACCTGTATCTACTGCAGTACTGCCTGTCTCAGTAAATGCCAAACAGTTGCTCAACCCAGGAATGCAGTTCTTTTTGTGTGTGCGTGAGACAGAATTTCACTCTTGTTGCCCAGGCTGGAGTGCAAAGGCACAATCTTGGCTCACTGCAACCTCTGCCTCACGGGTTCAAGCAATTTGCCTGCCTCAGCCTCCCGAGTAGCTGGGACTACAGGCACACGCCAACATGCCTGGCTATTTTCTGTATCTTTAGTAGAGATGGGGTTTCATCATGTTGGTCAGGCTGGTGTGGAACTCCTGACCTCAGGTGACCTGCCTGCCTTGGCCTCCCAAAGTGCTGGGATTACAGGTGTGAGCCACTGCACTGAGCCTGGGGAATGCAGTTTTTTTTTTTTTTTGAGACCGAGTCTCGTTCTGTCGCCCAGGCTGGACTGCAATGGCGCAATCGCAGCTCAGTGCAACCTTCACCTCCCAGGTTCAAGCCAGTCTCCTGCCTCAGCCTCCCGAGTAGCTGGGACTACAGGTGCCCGCCACCACGAACAGCTAATTTTTGTATTTTTAGCAGAGAGGGGGGGTTTCGCCACATTGGCCAGGCTGGTCTTGAACTCCTGACCTGAGGTAATGTTCCCACCTTGCCCTCCCAAAGTGTTGGCATTAGAGGCATGAGCCACTGTGCCCAGCCTGCAGTTCCTAACACTCCCTTCATGTCACATCCAGTCTCCAAGTCCTGTTATTTTCTTCCTAAGTAGTGTTCTTGTGTCAGTCTACCTGTCTCCACCCACATCTAAGCAAGCCCAGGCTGCCATCCTCTCTCACCTGAACTACTACAGTAAACCCTGAGGGAGACCTCCCCACATTCATTCTTGCCCCACTAATCTGCTCTTCATACCACACTCAAATGATATTTTAAACATAAACTGATCATGTCATTCTCCTGCCAAAGAATCCTCAGAGGCTTCCCTCTGCTCTACGAGAATGTCCAAATTTCTGCACTAGCTGCCACCAACGCTGCCTTGCCACGTTCCTTTTTTTTTTTTTTGGAGACAGAGTTTTGCTCTTGTTACCCAGAATGGAGTGCAATGGTACAATCTCGGCTCACTGCAACCTCTGCCTCCCGGGTTCAAGTGATTCTCCTGCCTCAGTCTCCTGAGTAGCTGGGATTACAGGCATGTGCCACCATGCCCAGCTAATTTTTTTTTTTGAGACAGAGTCTCGCTCTGTCACCCAGGCTGGAGTGCAGAAATGCTCACTGCAACATCTGCCTCTGTGGTTCAAGCGAGTCTCCTGCCTCTGCCTCCCAAGGAGCTGAGACTACAGGCACACACCACTGTGCCCAGCTCACACAAACATTTGTACATGAATGTTCATAGCAGCATTATTTATAACAGGCAAAAAGGTAGAAAGAAACCAAAAATCCATCAACTGATAAAATGTGGTATATCCGTATTATTAGAATTATAATACCTATAGATTATTATTCAGTCATAAAGGAATAAAGTACTGCTACATGCTGATACACCATGGATGAACCCTGAAAACATTATGCTAAGTGAAAGAAACCAGACACAAAACGCCACATGTATGACTTCATGAAATGCCCAGAATAGGCCAATCGACAGAAAAAAAAAGTAGATAGTGGTTGGCAAAGGAAGGAATGAGGAGTGACTGCTAATAGATAAGAAGTTTCTTTCTGGGGTGATGAAAATGTTCTAGAATTAGTGGTGACATTTTTACAAGTTTCTGGTTATATTAAAAAAAAAAAAAACACTGGGCCGGGCGCGGTGGCTCACACCTATAATCCCAGCACTTTGGGAGGCCGAGGCGGGCGGATCACGAGGTCAGGAGATCCACACCAACCTAGCTAACACGGTGAAACCCCGTCTCTACTAAAAATACAAAAAATTAGCTGGGCATGGTGGCGGGCACCTGTAGTCCCAGTTACTGGGGAGGCTGAGGCAGGAGAATGGCATGAACCTGGGAGGCGGAGCTTGCAGTGAGCCAAGATTGCACCCCTGCACTCCAGCCTGGGCAACAGAGTAAGACTCCGTCTCAAAACAAACAAACAGCACTGAATTTTGGCTAACACCTGTAATCCCAGCACTGTGGGAGATCGAGGCAGGTGGATCACTTGAGGCCAGGATTTCCAGTCCAGCCTGGCCAAGATGGCGAAACTCCATCTCTACTAAAAATACAAAAATCAGCCAGACGTGGTGGCGCACACCTGTAATCCCAGCTCCTCGGGAGGGTGGGGCACAAGAACATTGAATTCAGGAGGTGGAGGTTGCAGTGAGCCAAGATGGCACCACCGCACTTCAGCCTGGACAAACAAACAAAAAGGCTGGGTGCAGTGGCTTACACCTGTAATCGCAGCACTTTGGGAGGCAGAGACCGGTGGAGCACTTGAGCTCCGGAGTTGAAGACCAGCCTGGCCAACATGGTGACAACTTATCTCTACAAAAAATACAAAAATTAGCTGGGCATGGTGGTGCACACCTATGGTCCCAGCTACTTGGCAGGCTGAAGTGGGAGGATCGCTTGAGCCTGGAAGGCGGAAGTTGCAGTGAGCCGAGATCACGCCACTGCACTCCAGCCTGGGTGACAAGAGCGAGACTCCATCTCAAAAAAAAAAAGAAAAAAAGAAAAAGCACTCCAGAAATCGAAGGTTTTATGCCCACACTTGTGCAAACATCCAACGACATCTCCAACAGCACAGGATAGGGCAGCGCAACGAAAACTGCCTTCACTTTGATTCCAGTCCCAGCTCTGCTGCTAACTCACTGTGTAGCCCTGAGTAAGTCCCTTCCCCTACTGGACTATCTCAGGGGCTTTGCAAGACCAACTGGACTTCATTCCTTTTCTGTCAACCCTTGTATTTCCCTAGACAGAGGGAAAGGGCTTGTATTTTAAGTTTTAGAGGGAGCTTCCCAACTCCCCTAAGATAATGACAAGTGGAAAATGCTTCTTTAATATCAGCCTAGTAGCTGATCTTAGGCCTGCCCTGCACTTTTTTTCTTTTTAAATTTTGGAGGTCAGTCCCGCTGGCTGGCAAGGCAACATCTGTACAAAAGCACTAGGCTGGGGGTCCAAGTCCATGTTCTGTCAGTACTCAGGTGTGAGGGTTTTAGGCAAATCACATCCTTTAATCCCCTCAGCTGTAAAACAGGGACACCAGCATAAACTTAATTTGACAAATGTTCCTTGAGGCCTAACATATGTACAGCTTTGTTCTACATATGAAGGACTGTAAAGGGGACTGGACCCCTTTCCTGTGCCCTAACCTCATAATCTTTTCTAAGGAAAGTAAACAGGTGCATCTGTACTAGAAGCGGGAATGACTCAGACCAAATGTACTATATGACGGCCATAAAGGAATGAAGTATTGAGGCATGCTCATAAACCATGGATGAACCTTGAAAACAACACGCTAAGGGGTGGGGGGGAAGACAGATTATTTCGGACCCGGGCATAATGAAGAAATGGTTGGAATTAGTAAGGAAACTATGAGGGTAGAGGCGGGACGGGATCTCATTTATCTGTGCCCTGAGAAGTCTGGCACACAGCCCGTATCCTCGGCTTCCGACGGTGGGTAATGGTTACCAAGAGAGAAGACATGTTTCTCCAATATAAGTCATGCAGGGCGGTGGTGAATGACAGAGCTGGCCCACAGTCCCGCCAGAGCCAGAGAGCCCAGAAGGATGGTGCAGCTCGGAACCGCCCGTCGCGCGGGTTTGATGGACGTGGGGTGGGGTGGGGGGTGCGGGCGAAATAGATGAATAATGAACGAACCACGCGCAGGTGGCTACCGGCTCGCGCCAGCGGAGGGAAAGGCGTGAGCAGCCTCGCTGATACCTGCGAAGCCGCTATAGTGGGACCCAGGCTCGTAGTGCCTCCGGCCGGAGGACACATCGTAGACGCGGCCGAGCAACGCCAAGTAGAGGCCAGGGTCCCCTGGGCCGCCGCGATAGCGAGACAGCTCCTCCGGTATGAAAAGGCGAAAGCCAGCGCGGGGACCCCACCAGCCCATAAGCCGTGCTGCCATCACCGCTGCTGCGGCTACAGCCAGGCCCAACAAAAGCCCACGGCCTCCGAGCCTCAGCATCGATACGGCCGCACGCGCACCGCACTGCCCGAGTTGCCGCCTCTGTCTACAGCCAAGATGGCGGAGACGCCGAGAGTGACGTCATCGGCGCGCGCGCTCTCGCTCTCCTCGCTCGTGCGCGCGCTCCCTCTCAGCTCGCTCTGTCTGTATTCCTGGCTCTGGCGATACTGCGACTTTTTCCTAGTACTTTTTTTTTTTTTTTTTTGGAGACAGAGTTTTAGCTCTTGTCGCCCAAGCTGGAGTGCAGAGGCGCAATCTCGGCTCACTGCAACCTCCGCCTCCCGGGTCCAAGCGATTCTCCTGCCTCAGCCTCCCGAGTAGCTGAGACTACAGGCACGCGCCACCACGCCCGGCTAATATTTTGTATTTAGTAGAGACGGGTTCACCACGTTGGTCAGGCTGGTCTCGAACTCCTGACCTCAGGTGATCCACCCGTGTCGGCCTCCCAAAGTGCTGGGATTACAGGCGTGAGCCACCCGCGCCTGGCTCTTCTCGTACTTCTTGGCTTGCAGGTTGTCAGCCCCAACAAAGATGGCGGCAGCAGAGGCTGCGGAATGACGTAGATGTTGAGACAGACTCGTCCTCTGGGAAATCAAGGTTGCACCCTTTGAGGCGGTGCTCCCCGCCTAGCTGTCGTGAGTTGGTAGAGGCCTGCTACCTACGTGACGGCGCCTTTGCGACAGCAGTCGTCGCTTGACGGCCAGGAAGCCGGAAGCCGCAGCCGCCGCCGTCGTCTCCTCCCCGTCCCCGCCCGCCGGCTGCTGTCGGAGGTTGACAGGTCGAGGCGGGGAGGCGGCGGCGGCTGCAGAGCCGGGCGCCCAAGACGGAGACCTCATGGGGAACGCTCCGAGTCACAGCAGTGAAGACGAAGCGGCAGCTGCCGGGGGCGAGGGCTGGGGCCCACACCAGGACTGGGCCGCCGTCTCGGGCACGACCCCCGGCCCGGGCCTCGCGGCTCCAGCGCTACCGCCAGCCGCGGCGCTGCTGGAGCCGGCGAGGCTGCGAGAGGCTGCCGCTGCGTTGCTGCCCACACCCCCCTGCGAGTCGCTGGTGTCGAGGCATCGCGGCGCGTTGTTTCGCTGGCTGGAAGAGCGGCTGGGCCGCGGCGAAGAGTCTGTCACTCTGGAGCAGTTCCGGGAGCTGCTGGAGGCTCGCGGCGCCGGCTGCTCTAGCGAGCAGTTCGAGGAGGTCAGGGCCGGCAGGCGACTGCGGGGGTGGGGCAGGGCGGTCGCCCCCAGGGGACTAAAGGAAGAGGTGGGCATTTGCTTTGGAGAGGCCACGCGGGGACCCATATGAGGTGTTCCCAGCTTTTCACCAGGCGTTTGCTTCGTCTCTCTCTGTCCTGTGTGAGAGGTCTGGAAAGCCTGCATGAGGCCGTCCCTGCTCTGAAGAGCTGGACAAGCCCAGATGTCTCTGTATGTTGTAATGCAGACCTTTGTGCAGTTGATGGACGCTACTCTCTGGAGACCTTTTATCAGGTTCTAGAACAGTTTGGAGAGAAAAGAGATGTGAGGATAGGAGGAGTGGCGCTGAAAACCATTTTTTATATTGTCCTGTCCACGTTTTTACACGGCACCTTCCGAATTCAGTGTGGGCACCGAATGAGTGTGGAAAGACAGTAGTAACGTACTGGAAAGGCTCACATTCTGAAACCTATCCTCCTGATGCAAAAACTAGCTTTCCCAAAATACACATTGGTTTGTAGACCCTTAAAGAACTATATGTTAGACTCATTTAAACCTTCATAGGATCTGAAACTGATAGGCAAATACCGGGTTTCCTACGTCATTTCGCAATTACAAGTGAATACTTGTAATTATACGGTTCTTCATATAATCACCAAGATCATGTGTGCTAAATCATTAAGAGCAAATTGATTTGGCAACAAAATATTTTCCTTGGAAGGCATCTTGGGAGTTATCTACTGGGTACTTCACTTTGAGTTGACAAGACTGATCCAGGGTTACCCAGTGAATCATTAGTAAAACTGAGACTATCACCTGGATCTCTTGCTTTTTTTTTTTTTCTTTCTTTCAATTTTTATTTTAAATTCAGGCGTACATGTGCAGGATTTGGATTTGCAGATTTGTTACATAGGTAAACTTGTGCCATGCTGGTTTACTCCACAGATCATCCCATCACCCAAGTGTTAAGTCCAGCATCCATTAGCTATTCTTCCTGATGCTCTCTCTCCCCCCACCCCCACCCTATTTTTTGTTTTTAATGTCTCACTACCTCCTTCCTGGGATCCTATTTCTTTTAACTGCACGGTATGACAAAAAAGGTCCTTAATTTGTGAAAATGAGTCAGCCAACCATGTAGAATCTTCAGTGGCCACGAAGGGTGAGTACATAAAGCAGTAAACCAGCAGGTACTTGTAATGCCTTTAAACGATTCTGTTTACTTGAAAATCAGAGGCTTTTAAAATATTTTAAGAATGTCTTCCTGTACATGGCCAGAATTCAGATAATGTAGTTTGTGTGTTTCTTATGAAAAAAGAGCCTTTAAGGCATCCCAGCCCTTAAAAGTAATAGTCATGGCCGGGTGTGGTGGCTCATGCCTGTAATCCCAGCACTTTGGGAGGCCAAGGCGGGAGAATCATCTGAGGTCAGGAATTCGAGAGCAGCCTGGCCAACATGGTGAAACCCCATCTCTACTAAAAATACAAAAATTAGCTGGGCCTGGTGGTGGGTGCCTGTCATCCCAGCTACTTGGGAGGCTGAGGTGGGAGAATCGCTTGAACCCAGGAGGTGGAGGTTGCTGTGAGCCAAGATCGCACCGCTGCTCTCCAGCCTGGTCCACAGAGCGAGACTCTGTCTCAAAAAAAAAAAAAAAAAAAAGTCATATTAGTTAGTGAAAGATCTCCTTTTTTTTTTTTTTTTTTTTTTTCCCCAAGAATACATGTAGCACCTTCCCTCTAGTATCTATCTGTATTATAAGAATATGAAGTGGTCATGGAAAGAACCATGCAGAACTGTTCAAGGAGTTGGCACTTTGCAGATTTGTGCAAAGGCAAATGGAGAGAAACACCGTTTACATTCTGAGATGAGATCTGACAGAAATAGAACTTTATGTAGAGTTCATAAGGTCAAGGTGTGGTTCAGAAATCACTGAGGGGTTGTGGCATTATTGTTCACTGAGCAAATGTTTATTGGGCGTATATTGAGTGCCACTCACTTGGATGACAGTGGACAAAGCAGATACTTGCTCTTAAAGAGTATGTAGTGTGGTGGAAGAGACAGGTATTAACCCAGTAATTGTAAGATATGGTGAATGTTAACCAAGGGAAGGTATAAGGAATAAGTAGCAAGTGTATTTAACCTCACCTAGAGCTCAAGCAAGAGTTACCTGAGAACCTAACATTTCAGCCACAGGTGAATGTTGAAAGCAGACAGTGTTACAGGAGGTAGTAACAGCGTTTCAGGCAGAGGAAATTGTATCCACAAAGGTCCAAAGTCCAGAGAATCTGGAAGAAGTCTGGTATGGTGTATTAGGGATAGACAAATCTTTTTCAAGGGACAGAAAACCTAATGCACCAGTGGTTTAAACAGAGAGGCTGCTTTCTTATGAAAATGTTCAGGTAGGCAGTCCAGGGTTGATGTGGCAGTTTTATCATCATCAGGGACATGGCTTCATCCATCTTGTGCTGTCATCCTCCACAGACATCTTCCACTTGGTAATTCTGTTGACTCCTTCTCCTGTCATTTTCCATATTCCAACAAGCAAGAAAGGGAAAACGGAAGGAGAGAGCTATGCTCACTCTCTTACGGGCACAGCTTACATCCCATAGGCCAAAATTCAGTCACATGGCTGCATTCAGCTGTGGGAGTGGCTGGGATTCTTTTTCCATGGCCATATATTCAGCTAAAACTCAGGACTTAATTATTGAGGAAGGGGAGAGAAAATATTGAGTTATATTTGGCAGTCTTTGATTCCCATAGCTAGGTCATACAATTCTGTGAGTGAGGCTTAGCCTAGGTTTAAAAACCTGATCGTGATAATCTCACAGTGGCTACCCTCTCTCGATAATCTCACGATGGCTGCTCTGTCTGTAAGGACTAGTAAGTTAGGACTAGCCAAACAATACAAGAGTTAGCCATGCATTTGATTCCGTGCTTTAAAAATGTCTGTCCTTAGACTTGAGTAAGTATATGCTTTTGTGTATACTTACACAGTTAATTCTGTGTTGTTAATCTACATCTAAGCTTTTGAGAGTATATTGCTGTATTTTACTACAAGATGAAGGGCTTGTGAAATAATAGAATGTCTTTATGGTAGCAACTAGAATGACAAGTTGTTTCTGTCATTCATTTTTATAAGAGCTGACATGGTAGAACAATTGCCATGGCTGTGCATGGTTTATTATAGTGCTGAGAGTTTCCAAGTGTTCCATGTTTCTTCTTTGGCTTCCCAGCTTACACTGCCATTAGTGTCCACGCAGCTGTCTTGCTTTCAAATTCCTGTGACCTCAGTTACTTGAGGAGGTATTATGAAGAAGTTCTTGGAGTTGGACCATGGACCAAAGTCTGAAGCCTTATCATTTTATAGTACAACACACCTTTTCTCGTGGTAGGTGTGGTCCAGGGAGAAAGGACTCTTCAGTGTGTTCACAGGGAGCAATATTTAATTGACTGCCATGTAGAGGGGAAATAGAATTAAAATTAAGTTCTTATTTCACATCAGAGGTTATAGATTAGATATTTATACCCTTAGAGTATGATTCTAGAAAATCTAGGGCAGAAAAGTGTGCTGAGCACAGGGTGATAACAGATGGCCCTAAAGTGAAATTTCATATGAATAGGTCCTGTTTTACTAATTTGCCACATAGTTTTGGTGCCTGCTTTGTGAAATTCGTGGGGTGGTAAGCTGTAATGGAAGGGCCTTTTTGATTCATCTCTGTTCATCGTCTTAGCACAGTCCAGGGTGGCTGCCAATGCCCAGGTGCTTTGGGGGACTGTGGAAGTTGTAGTCCACACACACTCAAACCTAGTATTTTATATTCAGTCTGTAACCTTTTAATAATAAAATATTTCTTGACATTGAAGGAAACAGTTAAATACGGTTTTCGTGAAAACTTTAAAAGGTTCTTAGGCACTTTTGGGTGTACAGGAAGTTTGTAGAAAAGCCCTATGCCCATCTTCGTATTATTATGTGAAAAGTATTAGTCAACTTATTTAGAATGGCTTTGAGCCCAGGAACTCTGCCCGCAGGAATATGCAGATGTGATTATCCGCCCTTTTAAGACTATAGACTGTAAGAGCTGTGTGTGTGCACCTTAAAGCAACAGCAGGCTGCCAGCTTGTCTTGCCCTCAGCCGGGAGCCCTCGGCTCTCCACTACCTGAGGGACCAAATCTGTATTTGTCTGAATTGGTTGAACCCCATACATCAGCCTACCTCTCTTACCTAATTTCCCTTCCCCACCTGCACCAGCCCTGTGCTAGCTAGTGGGATACCTGCTTTGTCCCTAACTCCCTTACCTAATTTATCTTCCCCCTGCACGAGCCCTGTGCTGGCTAGTGGGATGCCTGCTTTGTCCTGTGTATGGACCTTGCTGTCAGTTCTTGAAGATTCCCCACCTTGGCACTGTCACCTGGTCAGCACCGTGTCTTCTGTGGCTTAAGATAGT